GTCCATTTGCGGATTCAGCGCCGTAATAGTTCCACTGCAACTGATTCATTCAGAAGACTTGGAAAATTGATAGTAAAATTTTCATTAAAAAATAAAAAAGAGGGGCGCCTGGGTGGCTCAGTCGGTAAAGCGTCCAACTTTGGTTCAGGTCATGATCTTGCAGTCTGTGGGTTCGAGCCCTGCGTCAGGCTCTGTGCTGACAGCTCAGAGTCTGGAGCCTGCTTTGGATTCTGTGTGTGTGTCTCTCTCTGCCCCTCCTCTGCTCACTCTCTATGTGTGTGTCTCTCTCTCAAAAATAAATAAACATTAAAAAAAAAAAATCCCCAAGGGATATATGGAAGAGAAAGTAATAAAGGGGTCCTGCCCCACTATGGTGGACACTGTCCATGTACACGTATGTACACATACAACACCCCCCCCACACACACACACACACCTTACTTCTTTCAGCCCTTGCTGTACGTCTCTTTAGAGAGCTGCCGTGGGCCAGGATCTGGTTTTGCCCGCATCATCCACAGATTGTTGGAAATGCTGAGAAATTTCATTTCTCCAGATGCACGGTAGTCAGCATAGTGCAAGTGTGTGAGAAAACTGTCTGGCTGCCCGGACAGGCCCTGACATAGGATTTATGTTCCAGCGCTCCCCTGTGGGATCAGGCAAATGCTGAGACTTTGCCTCAAGGTGTCCCCTCACTTGGCTTCTTGTCCTTTCCCACTCCATTCGGATTACCCTCCTGGGTGGCCTTTCTTAATGAATCACACACATGGGAATTCACTCCTCCCCTTTAGGAGACCTGACCTGAGACTTCCATGAAACTTGAAAAAGCAGAGTAACACAACACAATTCAAAACTACCTGGCTTAAGGCAAAAAAAAAAAAAAAATAGGCCACAAGAACAGAATAAAATCATCATCAGAAACAGATCCAAGACAAAAGTGAGGTTTAATATACACAAACCAAGAGGAAGAATGTGCTTGACTGAGGCAGAGGCCAACCCTACCCATGGGGCACTGTGATTCCAGACCGGCCACCACATAACAGCGTGGAGAAAACAGTGTGACACTGTGCTTTGTCCCAGTGACAAGGGCTGAGCACTCCACCGGAGAACTGACGGGTGGAGGATGGGAAGGCTGATAAATAGAAGTAAAATCTTGAAGCTCCAAGGTAGTCAGTCCCAAGCAATTAAAACCACATATTTTCATTCGGACAACAACATACGGTGCACTGAATGAATGGCTTCCCCCTTCTCTAAAATGATTACTTAGATGTAATCTTAGCGACCTTTTTAAAATCCCAAAGTGTGTGATGGGGGAAGAGGCCAAGAATAAACACCTTCTATCCAGCAAGTCACCAGGCATCTCACCCCGGTGAGAAAGATGTATTTTGGTGCCAAAGTTAAGGAGCATTCAGAAGCCTTTGACCATTCTTTTCAAGAAAAAGACACCCTATGCATGGAGACAAAGAGTGAAAAACAAGTGACCTGGTATTTTTCTTTATTAATGACCTTTCTGGTCACAAACTACCCACCCACAACCCTGCAAAGGACAGTGGGGGAGGGGAAGTGCCCGGGAAGGGAACTGGGCTACTTGTTTGTACAACCTGTCCCCTCGCGTTAGATTTTCTTTTTCATTTTTCCCTCTTCTGTCTCCAGTGTTCTCCTCCAGTCTCTTCTTGAGGTTCCTAGAACAGTGATTCCCACTCCGGCGTCCTCTAGGGAAGCCACCACAACGTGGGTGATTTCACGCACCAGGTGGAGGCGGCTGTGGCAGCATCCACACAGTGTCCCTGCTGGACCAGCACAGGAGCTGTGGCCCAACAAAGCCCACAGACACCCTCCCCCCATGGGGCCTGGAGTGCTCGACTTGAAACAAACCTTCACTGCTGCCAAGAATCTGATTTTAGGTTTTAACTTCGTAGAAATGATTTTTAAACCTGTCGCTATGAACATCACCAAACAAAAGTAGACGAGGAGCACAGTGAATAACTACACACCTTGCCATACATGCCTTACGTGTATACTTGTCAAAATGAGTTCGACACGTTAGCTACTTCACCCCTCAGCCTCTCAATTCGCAGCTCCCAAGAATTAGGACATTCCCGTCCCTAGCCACAAGATCATTATCACCCCAACACAATTAACATTAATTCCCTATATCATCTAGTTCTCACTTTATATTCAGATTGTCCCTATCATCTCCCAAATGTCTTCCATAACTTTTTTTTCCAACCAGGACTTGACCAATGATCCCACATTGCCATCTGGCTTTTATGCCCCTTATAAGGCTCTTTTAATATAGAGTAGTTCTGGGGCTCCTGGGTGGCTCAGTTGGTTAAGCGTCCGACTTCGGCTCAGGTCATGATCTCACGGTTCATGGGTTGGAGCCCCGCGTCAGGCTCTGTGCCGACAGCTAGCTCAGAGCCTGGAGCCTGCTTCAGATTCTGTTTCTCCCTCTCTCTCTGACCCTCCCCTGCTCACGCTGCCTCTCTCTCTCTCTCTCTCTCTCTCTCTTTCAGCAGTAAATAAAACACTAAAAATTTTTAAAAAAATAATATAGAGTAGTTCTCCATCCTTTTTCATAACACAGACTTTTTTGAGACAATGAATCTGATTTATAAAAATAAAACGCATCATGGGCACCTGGGTGGCTCAGTCGGTTAAGCATCCAACTTTGGATCAGGTCATGATCTCACAGTTCGTGGGTTCGAGCCCCATGTGGGGCTCTGTGCTGACAGCGCAGGGTCCGGAGCCTGTTTCAGATGCTGTGTCTCCCTCTCTCTCTGCCCCTCCCTTGCTTGCACTCCGTCTCTCTCTCAAAAATCAATAAAGATTTTTAAAAAAGTGTTTTAATCCATCAACTCCTGTGTGTGTGTGTGTGTGTGTGTATACATATATAAACATACATATGGCAATCAGATCCGAAACTCACATTTCTCTGGCCAGCCTGTTTGCTCTTTGTAGCCAAATGTACAGGAATTAAAATAATCAAGAGTTTGCCCTGGTGACCACAGAATTATAACAAAGGAAATAAATTTTATGATTCAGATGTTTAAAGATACAAAGCTCTGACATCCTGGGGTACCCATCTTCTTTTTCCACAAGTTTTTAACCAAATTCTATAGGTGCATTTTTAGTTTACCATTTTGAATAGCTCCAACTTAGATGCAAAATAAGAATTGTTTAAAAATCCTCAAGTGTAAGATTGGGAAAGTTGTGCATTCTTTTCCCCACTTCCGAAGGTTATGATTACACAGTAATTGTTCTTTAGGGTCAAAATTTTTGCATTCTCTTCTCCTTCTCGTCTTCAGTTGTGAAACAATTAAAATGTCACAATACAAGTCACCATAACTAATCAGAATACGAAAATGTAAAAAGGCCACAGAAACACAGCATTTTAGAGTGAGTTTTAGAGCCATTTTACGTAAGGAAGATGGGGGAGAGCAGCCAAGTGCTGCAATAGCATGAGCCGCGGGCAGGAGAACCAGATTAGTGCAGTCTGGCCCTGGTCTTCACCTCTTTGCTCCGCTACTCGTAAGGATGGGGTGCCGTAGTCAATGTCAAACAGCCAATGAGTGGGGGACCAAGACTTGTATCCAGATATCCCCATCCCAGACCAATCCGTTCTCAATGTATTGGGAATATTTAGTCATGCTATTTGCAATGCAGAGGGTTGTAATTTCTTCCCCACTATTCTGGAAACACTAGTGTTTGCCTTTATTTCTTTTCCTATTATTCATAGTCTTTAAAACTTCCTTTGTGGCACCTGGGTGGCTCGGTGGGTTAAGGGACCATCTTCAGCTCAGGTCATGATCTCAGTCAGTGAGTTCGAGTCCCACATCGGGCTCTGTGCTGACAGCTCAGAACCAGGAGCCTGCTGCAGATTCTGTGTCTCCTTCTCTCTCTGCCTCTCCATCACTCATGTTCTCTCTCTGTCTCTCAAAAATGAATAAATGTTTAAAAAAATTTTTTTTAAACTTCCTTTGTATGCACAAAAAAGAAAAGTCCCAATAAACAGCTTCTTGAGATGCTCACAGCAGACTCAAGGATGTCCAAATTTCTTTTGAGAAATTGGCAGCCCCTTTCCTGATGTTAAAATGTGTCATATGTGCTTCTAAGTCCCCTTTCCTAAAGTCCCTGAAGTCTGGGGGTGAACTCATTCCCATTCTACAGATGAGGAAAGTAAAGACAGGTCATTTACATTGTGCCACACAAAGACTGAACATCAGGGTCACAACGGCTGCCGACCCCAAACCCCACATGACACAGGAAGTACCGTGGAACCCAGCCCTCCCTCCAGCTGTGACCATGGCCCTCCTCCCCTTGCCTAGAGGCAAAGACATTCACTGAGCACTAGTCTCTGGAAGGTTTCTTAAAAAGTGATAGGCCTTCCTCCCCGCCTTTTTCCTTTTTTCTTTATAAAGTAAATTTCACAACCAGATTTGTTTTGTGCTATTAGTTGATGACTCTCTTCTCTGGCTACTCTATGTGTTTGCCTGACTTCCCCCATGTGGGGCCATCTGTTGCTTTCCTACAAAGGATGAAGTCAGTCGACTTGCTGCCTTATCAGCTTCTGTCTAGAACTTTCCAACAAAGTAGTCTCAGGGCTCCTGGGTGGCTCAGTCACTTAAGCGTCCAGCTTCGGCTCAGGTCATGGTCTAGCGGTGCATGGGTTCCAGCCCCATGCCGGGCTCTGTGCTGACAGCTTGGAGCCTGGAGCCTGCTTCAGATTCTGTTGTCTGTCTCTCTCTCTCTCTCTCTCTCTCTCTCTCTCTGCCCCTCCCCCACTTGTACTCTGTTTCTCTCTCTCAAAAATAAGATAAACATTAAAAAAGAGAAAGAGAGAAGTAGTCTCAGAGGCAGGTGATGGTGGTGTTCCCAAGAAAGCCCAGCACTTGGTCAGGCTGCTTTCCACCCACAGTCAGTCACGACTTCAGCACACACATCCCAAACCAGGGCCCTGTGCACCGGCACTGACGGTATAGAGACACCACGTCGGAGCAGACTTCACTTCTTAAACAGGCAATGTATTCTCTAACGGGTATGTTCCTACAAAGCCATTTCAAGAAAAACAAAAGAAAGACTTTTCTTTTTAAAAATTGAATTAGTGACTCCATATAACCTTCACGGTGGAAACAGCTTCCGCAAGCATTTGGGCAAAGGGAGAGGGGGACGTTAGAAGTGTCTCAGTTTCTTGGCGACATTGAGGTCCAGGTATTCATCCAGAAAGCTGTTTGCAATCCCCAGGGCGCCCAGGACTGTGAGCAAGGCCAGAACCCCCAGACTCAGCCGGAACCCGGTGATCCTGCAGGAGGGACAGGAGGCAGACAAGTGACAAGAAGCTACAGTGACGAAGGGAGGCGTCCGGAGGCTGGCGCTCAATGTGGACACCGCCCAGAACTTCCATGTCTTTGCTGTTTGAAAATTTTGATTCATCGCATAAATTAAAGGCGATGCTTAGGCACAGAGGTTAATTGGCTCCTTTGAGCATTCAAAGGATTATCAAGACCGGGCCGAATTATTTCCTTTGCAACTTTTTGGAGATAGTGCACAGTTTTTGCAAGGATTTAAAGTGTGGCAGCTTGAGGTGTCTGGGTAGCTCACTTGGTTAAGAATCCACCTTCAGCTCAGGTCATGATCTCTCAGTTCATGTGTTCGAGCCCTGCATCTGGCTCTGTGCTGAGAGCTCAGAGCCTGGAGCCTGCTTCAGATGCTGTGTCTCCCTCTCTCTCTGTCCCTCCCCCACTTGCTCTCCGTCTCTCTCAAAAACAAATCAACATTAAAATTTTTTAAAAAAATTTAAATGTGGTGGCCACAAGTGTATATTCAATGCACACTTTGTATTTGATGTTCCCACCAGGCACCCAGGTGGTCACGGCCTGGTGAGAATGGTCTCAGACAACACAGGTGACTTTTGCGAACATAACCGTCAGGCTTACTAATTTTCTCAGGAACAGGAGGCTAATTCAGACTCCATTATGCTACTGTTTGCCTAAGCACCCAATCCTCAGGTTCTCCTTACCTTTTTTTAGCTGCTTCTGAATATCCCCAGAAATATTGGTGACGGGCATATACGTACACCAGACCTAGACAGGTAGCAAAAACTGTATAGAGAAAAAATAGAGAAGATACAGGAAATGATGGCAGTCTCTCAAAATGCAGGATGAAAACAGAAAAAAAATACCTCGCACACATGTATGTGTCCAAATTATGTACAGATCTCTGGCAATTCAATCATAAAAGGAAAACAAATTAATTTTTTAATGGGCAAAATATTTGAATAGACAATTCATACAGGAAGATAAACAAATGTACCAATAAGCACATGAGAGTTTTTTCAGTATTCAACATTATTCAATATCAGCAAACTGCTTCCTAAAACCACAAATATTGGGGCGCCTGTGTGGCTTAGTCAGTTAAGCATCCGACTTCGGCTCAAGTCATGATCTCAAGATTCGTGGGTTCAAGGCCTGCATCTGTGCTGACAGCTGAGAGCCTGGAGCCTCTCTTCGGATTTTGTGTCTCCCTCTCTCTCCGACCCTCCCCTGCTTGCGCTCTCTCTCTCTCTCAAAAATAAATAAAACATTTTTAAAAAAATTTTTTTAAAAACACAAATAGAGGAGCACCCAGGTGGCTTAGTCAGTTAAGTGTCCAACTTCAGCTCAGTTCATGATCTCACAGTTCATGAGTTTGAGCCCCTCATTGGGCTGTGTTCTGACAGCTTGGAGCCTAGAGCCTGCTTTGGATTCTGTGCGTGTGTCTTTCTCTCTGCCCCTCCCCTGCTTACACTCTGTCTCTCTATCTCTCTCAAAAATAGATTAACATTTTAAAAAATTTAAAAACAATAACCAAAAAAAACCCACAATTAGATGCATACCCACTAGAATCGCTAAAATTTAAACAACACAACAACACAAAATGTTGGTGATATTGGAATCCTCATACGTTATTGGTGGGAGTACAGCCACTTTGGGAAAAGGTCTGGCAGTTACTTATGAAGCTAAATATACTTTTTACCCAGCAATTCCATCCCTATGTATTTACCCAAAAGGAATGAAAGCACATTTCCATAAAAAGACTTGTACAGAAGGTTCATTGCAGCTTATTCATAATAGCTTAAATTTGGAAAGAGCCCAGACACCTACCAACAGTAGAATGGATAACCAAATGGAGATAATCGTACTACAGAATACCACTCATCAGTGAAAAGACACAGATACTTGCAACGACATGGTGAGTCTCAACATTTTGCTGAGTGAATGAAGCATTGCACAAGAGTACACACTGTATGATTCCAATTATGGAAAGCTCTAGAATGAGCCAAACTAAACTATGATGAAAGAGACCAGAACAGTGTTTGCCTCTGAAAGTGCCTGATGCGGAGGGACATAAGAAACCTTTCTGGGTGGTTGTCATGTCCTGCGTCTTGATGGGTACACATGTGTTAAAACTCATTGAACGATACATGTGTAATTTGTGCATTTCACCATATGGTACATAAATTTTACCTAAAAGAAATGTGAAGTGTGGCATGATCTGTCATCTGGTCTAACAGAAAATATCAATATCTTCCTTACAATCAGGGACCTTCTCTATCTTCCTCAGCACCTAACAGATGCAAATAGCCAGAGCCCTCTTACACACTTGGAGTCTGTCTGTGAGGCTCTGCTATCCTGGATAAAATTGAATTCCTTAATTTATTAGATCACAAAGATTTTCTTTAGTTTCGACCCTATACCAGGTATTATTCTAAGGATCGGGGTGAGCAGTGAAATGGATACAAGCTTCCTACCTTTATGGAGTTTATCAGCAAAGACAGACAACAAGGAGAAAAGTTAGAAGAATATCGCAGACTTGAAAGCATTGAGAAGGACATGAAGTGGGATGGATGGGACAGTGGGAGGTTGGGGGGAGGACAGAGGAGGCCACCTCTGGAAAGGAGTCAGGGAAGGCCTCCCTGAAGGGGCCTGTGGGTAAGACGGAGGGGGCCAAGCAAACAGCTGAGAAGAGAGGGGGTAGGGCCCCCTGGCATGTGAGGGAGGAAGTGCAGAGATCCTGAGCAGGCTACAGTTAAGCCCCCCATCCAACGACCTAACTCCCACGGAAGCCAATGAGAACTATTCAGGGCAATCAATAGGCAACTTAACTTTTCATGAGAGAGAACGAAAAGAAAATTACGACAGAAAACCCTCTTCTGACAGTGGGCCCCATTCAGCCCATTCCAGTGAAATCCAAAGGGTCAAATAGCAAGAGACAGAGTCCCATTATCAAAGGCACTTTTCTTATTAGTTGTTAAGGCAGTCTTACCTGACAGGGAACAACCGCCTTCATTCATGCCCTTAGGGGACAAAATATGTGAGCAGGAATGAAGTTAAGAAGCCTTCCTCTAGAGGACATTTTATCTGGAGTTCCTCAGTTGACAGTAAAAAGTACAAGACAGTGATGGGGTTGCCTTTGAAAGCAACCGGATTTGTGTTTATTGACATCTTAGCAACCAAGTGTCAGGCCCAAGCGAGGCAAAGAGCAGGCAAAAGAGATTGGGTTTCTCCAACTAAGGTAGCCGGGGCTGCTTGACCCCGTTAAAGAAACAGGCAGAGTTTGGGTTAAGCCTTCAGCTCGCCAGGGGTAGCCGCAGCCAAACAGGAAGTGGATGTCTGTAGACTTGCCACATACAGGACAACATCCTCTTGAACTCAAGAAAAGGTACCTGGGTTATCAGGAATACCTATAGACCCTGCTTGTACTTGAAAGGCAATCTTCTCCTACACTGATAAATGGTAGGTTGGGCACATTATCTGTGATTCAGTCTCCCCGTCTGAAAGTAGGATGTGTATAAAAATTTCAAACAGGAGTGCCCGAGTAGCTCACTTGGTTAAGCATCTGATTCTTGATTTCAGCTCACGTCCTGATCTCACAGTCGTGAGATCAAGCCCCGCATTGAGCTCCACACTGGGCATGGAGCCTGCTAAGATTTTCTCTCTCTACCTCTCCCTCTGTCCCTCCCTAATCTCTCTCCTCTCTCTCTCATATATATATATATATATATATATATATGTATATATATATATAATTTTTTTAATTTAAAACAGTTGCTGGAACATAGTAAGTGCTCAGTAAATTATAGCTATAATAATTAGGGTGAATTGTTGCAGGTAAACTAGAATTAAGGAATCAGATTTGAAAACAAAGCTCATGTCATTTTCATTTGGGAGTGCCCAGCATACAGTTTGTTTCAAAAAAATTTTTAGTCACTGAATTAAATTAAAATGAAGCCAAAATTAATTCATCTTTTTTTTTAATGTTTATTTTTGAGAGAGAAAGAGAGACAAAGTATGAGCGGAGGAAGGGCAGAGAGAGACAGAGACACAGAATCCAAAGCAAGCTCCAGACCCTGAACTGTCAGCACAGAGCCCAACACGGGGCTCAAACTCACAAACTGTGAGATCATGACCTGGGCCGAAGTCAGACACTTAACCAACTAAGCCACCCAGGCACCCCCAAAATTAACTTATTTGTAGAACAAGTGCTCTTTGATGCACACAGACCTGGCTTCTTTTGTTTAAAACAGTTTCTAGGATCAGAAAATGTATGGTTACACGTCTGTTCCTTAATGGTTCTACAAACCATGGTCATCATTAGAACAGACTTGACTGTATTTTAAAATTACCTTGATTGAAATACCATCCAGCCATCCACAGTGTAATCAGAAATATGGGGTAAAACTCCACACAGTTTTGTCTGCAGGAAAAAATAAAGACACGGGTTATATTATGAGAAAACTATACAAACCAAAGCATTAAGTTTTCATCTGGAAGTAAATGTCTAATCTCTGCTTATAAAAATATGTAAGTATTACATAAAAAGCTTAGATGCCTTTCCATATAAAATGAATCTTCCAAGGTGAGACTCAAACATTATTTAAATCTCAGATCAGGGCTGAGAATCACTCTCCTACAGGTAAGCCACCAGTAGTAGAAATGAATTGTACCTCTTTTCCAAAAGACAGACCTTGAGATGATCCTGATTCTAAGGCTAAAATTCATTCTGTATCTTATCTAAAGAACCCAGAAAATAACGCAATTTATGTTAATCATATTTGTTTCCAAAATTCCTATACATTCATTGCTTTCTCATTGAGTTACTCAGCAGTTAAAAAATGGTTTTAAATAATTCCCGTAAAATCTCCTGAGTCAGTGAGTATTTTTCATTCCCATTTTAAGGAGGAATAAACTAAGTCTTGAGAGCACAAGCTGGCTGATGCCTTAAAGAGAATCAAAGGGATTATGTCGTTGCCAGATTCCAAAGCTCCATTCTAATGTCAAGTCAAATTGCCTCTATTCATAGAAGAGGTGTATGGAAATTTTGATACTATTTTAAGCAAAAAGGAATAGTTCTCTGGGAACTCTAATTTCATCTGCACCTAGCAAAGGGAAAGATATATTCATCCTTCCTGTGCTACGCCCCCAAGTGATCTTGGTTAGGTTGGCTGTGCTCCTTGCTGATAATATCACAACCAAAAAGAACTTTAATGTAATTCGTAATGAGGTCTCGAGTTGATCCTGATGGAAGCAGCATAATTAGACAGAATTAGAAATGATACCACATTGTTCCTTAAACCTTGAGTATTTAAGGTTATGAGGCAATTGACCTAGAAATAGTTGATACCTGTTCTTAAAGACCTGCATCTTCTAGCCAAGGTCACCATGAGTGGCTAAGTTCTTTTGTTTTGCTTTTGCTACCAAGATGGCGACATAGGTTGCTCCTGAGCTTCCCTCCTCCCACAGATACGCCGATGGCACAGCCACACAGAGCAATTCCCTCTGCAAGAAATCCAGAAACCAGTTGTGACTCCTACGGACAGTGTAGGGAAAATACCCACACTAAAGTAGGTAGGAAAGATGGAAACAGGCTCCTGCCATAAACTCCTCCCCCAGCACAGTGCCACATCACCAGGAGGGAGTACTCAACTCCTAGCTTCTCCCGGAGGACCACACATAGAGCACTCAGACTTCTAAGACTTCCACTTGAGGGCTGGGTCCCCAAAACACTTAGCTCTGAATGCTAATGGGGCTTGCATCCACAGGATTTGGGGAAGGACTCTAGCAAGACAGTGGCACAATCCCTCCCTTAAAATACCTACCAGCAGGGTCTCTGACCCTGTGCATATCCCCTTGGGGCTCTGGGAAGTAACCCAGAACACAGCGGGAGGGGGTTCTGAGGTCCTGGGTGAACAGGGGTGATTAGAAACCATTGAGGTTCAGGCAAGGGTGTAAATCTAACTGCATTTATGCTCCCTGAGGGCACAGCCTGGAGTATTTGGGCAGTTCAGCCCCCAAAAGAGTCTCTTTGTCCCCTATAAGCAGTTAGTCATTGTTGGTCTCGCTTGCTTGACCTAGCGTCTTAGCTGTGCTCATTCCACTCTTCCCCTGGCCCCTCTTTTGTTGACCTGCCTTAAGCCCTAGTCCTTCTGAAATGAGGCTTTGTTCATTTCTTAATATCATCTAACAGATTGAAAATAATTCTCTGATGGCTAGCCCCGGGGCCCTGCTATTTGCGGATCGTCTTCTCTGCAGCTGCATGCTGTGAAGACCAGGTATTTCCTGGCCTTGAAAAACCTTGCATCCCAGTCTACCTGTTCCTTACGACCTCTTCCACCCTCCTCCAGCAGGTGGCCGGGTCTTTCTGCCACCGCAGTTAAGTGGTTCACGCCCGGATATGTCCCAAGATGGCTGTTCACAGTGAGCTGTCCACGAACGTTGTTTAACTCAAGGGGACCAAACTGAAAGCCTGTTCTTAACAACCTTATCAGTGACTAATTACAGTTCCGTTGACAAGAAAACCAAAATGAGAATGATTTCTGGTTTCTTCTGGACATGAAGGCAGACATAGTCTGTCCTCTTACTATAGGAGATCCTCAGAAAAAATCTCCAAATAGGACAGAAAACAGCTGGCAGCCACTGTGTCCATTTCGCTTTATGTGGGAAGAGAGGGTCTAGCTGATTATGACCACGGATGGGCTCTCCTTGTTCCTACATGTCCACACTGAGGGAAACGAGTCTATCTACCTAGTCCCTGGTTACAGCCCTCTTTGCTCAGTAATCTTGTGCTCTTTTGATATTTAGATTGCCCATAAAATGATTATGGAGAAGCTTCTCCTTTGTTATAGGCAAGTGTCACCATGTGCCTCAAATTCTACCCAGGGGCAATAAGAGAAGGAAGCAGCTAGAAAGACAGTAGGGCGACGAATCATCCTAGTTTGTCCTAGACTGAGCAGATTTTGAGAATATGGGACTTTGAACTCTATAACCAAGACAGTTCCGGGTAAGCTGTCCTGGTCTGCCTAGAACGGAGAGTGCCCTGGGACACAGAACTTGAAGTGCTAAAACCAGGAAAGCCCCAGGAAAACCGAAAAGAGCGAGTCACCCTAAAGAATGACCTGAAGGAGCCTGTGGAGATGGCATAGTTCAAGCTGCTGGAATCCCCCATGGGTCATCCCCGACCCAACTCCAAGGGATCCTGGAGCTCAGGACATGTGGCCGCCGCAGGGTCCCTCTTGGACCCGAGGGCTGGCAGTAGCCAGGGCAGTCCCCAACTAAGTACCGTTTGACTCTGTCTCAGTCATTAAGTGTGCTGCTAAGTCCAGCTCATTTTGAAAAAAGAACCACACTTTGGCCTGACAGCCAAATCTAGCAGTTCCTAAAATGCTAGTCTCTGATTGTTTTTGATTGTATAGTTCTCGTGGTTGCATAACCCCATATAAGAAAAAAAAAGTCCTACTGTACAACAAAGATGGTGTGGGGTTGCTGCTGTACGGCAGCTGCCTGGCCTTCCTGGATTTTGGTGCGGCTACTTCTTGCCCATGGAAAGAGAGAGTGAAATATGTCCGTCTGAGTCAAATGGTTCAGAGGCTGGTGTGCCCAGCTCCCCTCCCCCACACCTGGTTGAGTGGAGAGAACTCTGAGGACAGGGATGGGGACAGACCCCTGAGACGGACAGAGCTCAGGCCTCTAACTGACCACGGGGAAGGCCACTCAACCAGGAACACCCACGTGGGACACTACGTGACCAGAACATAAACTTCCATTGTGTTAAACCACTGGGATTATGGGGCTGATCCATTTAGCACAGCAAATACAATCAACTGGAAAAGTATATCATATACACTAGAAAACACGCACAAAATAATGAGGTTTTAAGAGCAAATATAAATAGAAGCTCCAAAATTTCTTCACGCTCCTGGCGGATTGCTTGGTTCACCCTCAGCACGTACATGTCATTGGGGAGACCTCTGACCTAAAACACTCGTGAATATCTCTGCTATTTGGTAGATTTAAACACACAACAGGACACTGTGTCTTCCAATCTTGTTCATAGAAAATCTGAACCATGCGCTGAAGGGAAAAATCTTAATTAACTATAGTACGCTTCCAATGCTATGACATCTTTAAAAAAATAAAAACAGACAAGGCAACTTAAAGGAGGCTTCTTAGGAGGTTTTCCGCTTTCAAGTTTTTGTTTGCTCATTTCTCTTTCTCTGTTTGTTTGGGTGACTTATTCTGAAGCAGCGGGCTGCACACCGCCATCAGCGGCTCACACTATTACCAGATGACCCGGCCCCGGTCTGCTGCCTTCCGACCCCGCAAAGTCCTTTCAATTATTAACGCTGGCTGAGGGTCAGAGCAACAGGTTAATATGCTCAGAAAAGGCTCTGGGAGGAAAGGTGCTGAAGTTAATCTTTCTATATAGATTCGTAACTGTCTAAATTGCTCCTTGTCAAGCAACCCTCGTGCGGGATCACCAGCGGACATTTGCCACTGACAGCAGGAGGGCAGGAATCTAACCACCACTACAGTGGTGCCGCTGGTAAGCAGTGGGATGAGCAGATGAGGGAGTGAGGCTCGCAGCTCAGCCAAACTCCTGCTGCGCCTCATCCTCCCACTACCGGAGGCTTGTCCGGCGTGTGTGCAGAGCTACTTGGTGGTGGCATGAATGTTTGTGTCCCTCAAAATTCATATGTTGAAGGTCTAACCTCCAGTGTGGCTATAGGCGGAGTAAGGAAGTCATCAAGGCTAAAATGAGGTCAGAAGCGTGGGACCCTGATCTAACGGCATTGGTGTCCTTACAAGAAGAGACACCAGAGAGCTCTTTGACAGCCGCCGGACTCGCCCTGCCCAGCCCCTTCTCTGTCCTTGCATGCACACACCAAGGAAAGGTCAAGTGCGGACACAGCAAGAAGGCAGCCATCTGTGAGCCGAGAGAAGACAGCTCTCAGCAGAAATCCAAGCAGCCAGAACCCTGATCTTAGATCAAGGTCATGATCGCCCGGCCTCCAGAAGTGTGATAAAACAAATGTGCGTTGTTTAAGCCACCCAATCTGTTATTTTGTTATAGCAGCCCAACCTGACTAATACAGGCGGTTTGGATTAGGTGGAGGAGGATGAAGAACTCATCATCTAGAGTCCTTGTCCAGCCTTGGGGGTCCCTGCCCCTTTCTAATTCAGTGGATAAATATATCTTATGAATTCAGCCAATATCTAAGATGGGTAACTTGTAATAGAAAATGGGGATGTGTTTACTGTCTCTCTTTTATTTAACTTATTTGTTATTGTAATAACCTACTACAAAAGTAGGTGACTCAAAATACTGTAATCCCAGTGTTGCAGAATACCTGAAAATTTTCCTTTGTGAATTTTCCTTTCTCCATAGGTTTTAGACATACATTAGAGCCACAAGTTTTA